CCGGACATTATGCCGGACAAGCCTTGTTGTCCCATTTCCCCTGCTTCCCGAACCTCTATTCCTCCATCCCGTTTGTTCTCTCCTCCACCATCTCCACAGCCATCGACAGTTTCTCCTCTCCCATTAACCTCCAAAATTCCTTTCACAAGCCACTCTTGCCCTGCGCCCCCTGCACACAGTACCCTTAGTGGACGCCACGTTCACTTTCCCGACCGTCTAGTAACTCACAATTTTTAAATTTGTATATTTCCTTCGGCGTTATTTTTCGCTACGCCGCCTTCGATCTAGCCGGGGTATTGTGGCGGTTCTGTTGACTTGAATGCGGATGTCTTCGATAACGTATATGGAACAGTTGCGCTGCCACACCTGGGATGTGCGATAGGGGCTTTGTGGCCGTGGTACTACAAACGAACTTAAGCAGATACGATTTTCAACTGAATAAGCAAAAGGTTAACATAAATTAATAAATAAGTTGTATAATTAAGGCCCAGGGGGCCATTCATTACAGACTTAGTGCTGTGGTTAAAGCAAATACAAAGTTGGTAATCAGAGCTTAGTGTGTGCAACTGCATAAACAAAAAAATGTGTATGTTATACATATTAAACATTATCCAATTAACAATGGACTGTCATTTAAAAAAATCAAAGATATCTGCTGAACATGGTGAATTGGGAAAAATAGAAGTGAAGACAATTTCTATAATAGGAGTCAAAGACAGAGCTCAGCGAATTCCCGATTTGAAAAAAATGTACGAGGAAAAATTTGCCTCTGTCATTAATAAGTCGTTAGATTGGCATGATGCAGTGAGATGGCATCGTGATATAAAGGAGAACTTGTGAGGGGTCGGAACGCTCCTTCTCACAGGGGAAATCATATGGCATCATGGGGTGAGACAGGAGGAGGTCCTCGCAGACGATGGGATAAAGGAGAGAGTGAATGCTTTATTTTGAAGGTAATATCCAAACTTTTCAGCAAAAATTGCTTCTATTCACGGACAGCAATAAATAAGGTAAGGGGTCATGGTAAAAGGTCATAAAACACTCAAGGTTAAAGTTTTTCACGATATCCACATCTGTTATGGAGGCAGGTAAGTTTTCAAATTCTCAATTGCCGTTTCTTAACACATGGGGTAGCGTGCTAGGAATGGGAATATAGAGTGCTGATACGCCGATGTACGGCAACACATATTAAGGAAGCTTTGGCGCATAGTACGGGAAGACTTTGCAGCCATTATTTCAGAGTCGAGAGGGTGAACGACCTCACTAAGGATGCGATAAGCAAACTTTTTTGACCGTTTTAAATTGTCGCTGTATTATAATGTCAGCTTAAAAGGCATAGGAAACACCGGCAACTAAAGAGAGCATTCGGAGGATATGTTTACTAATGACCAGGTCTTTTTTAAGTAAGGCTGCAAAAATAACTTGAGGGGAGTAAATAATTAGGGGAGAATGCGGGCACCTATAAATTACCATATTAGGGCTTGCGGTGTGCGATGTGAACGCAAATGAATAGATGCTTCGCAGTAACACAAGCTCGCAAGAACCGGTACGCGGAGGTAATTTTCAAAAGCATGAAGATATAATGTGTCCAGCAAAAGTTTCACAGTTAGATTCATAGAAAGTACGCAGAATAAAGCGAGAATAAGATAATTTAACGTGTTAACACAATGTTGGGTTTGTGGCTGGGGTATAACATGGAAGAGGGATAAAAAAGACTTCTTAGTGTTATGCATGATGAAATAAATGAAAGAGATGAATAAAACGGCTACAAGTGTCCACAGGCAGTCTGTAAAATCAGGCAGATGTATACAGGTTTCGCTCGTCCTGCTGAAGTAACGTAGAAGGAATCGATCCACGCTGAGAATTAGAATGACCGAGGGGATACGTGTGTCACGAACGCGCAGCCTGTCGTTGGTGTGGTCGGCGATGGTCATCACCATTATGACGAAGGAACGAACGCGTTTACAGACAAAGTACCATGTCTGATGCTCCTTCCGTAGGTGCAGCACAAGGACGGACAGGGTGAAGGCAGCCAGCAGTTTCACGATGGAAGTGTAGATCTAAGAAAGTAAAAAAGGGGCACAGAGATTATGTTTAGCCCGCTGCGTAATGGCACCGCCGACCACCACACGTTGGATGGATGGTAGTGGGGAACAAAAGTATAACTCTATTAGAAACAAAACTGTAAGGAATGCTCCCATTTGAACCCTGGGTCTGCTTTTGTCAATGATTCGGTCTCTAAGAAAAGCATGCACGCTGCATGCTATGAACCGCTTTCAACGGCGATGGACAGTCAAAACTCTCCAGAGAGGTAACAAGTGTCACAACCGCATCTTGGTACACATACCTGATCCAGCCAGCCTTAATAATGTCACGGATTAGACCTATTCAAGCGTGTCGATCCACGGGACTGACCTGAAAGCTTGACCCATTTTGTCCTGTAGGAACGGAGAAAAACCGGAGGTCCAAGAATAACTTCCATTTCTTAAGGAACTGTGTTAAGCCGGATTTTAAGCTGGTCTCCTCTTCGACGCCTCTACGGGGGCAATGACTCCAGCAACAAAGAGCTCAGGGGCCGACGGCGAATAACGTGATAGTAGACTTGTGCAGTATCTTCTACGTTCTGTCTTCAGAAGAAAGAGATGCGACCATTGGAACAAGAGTTTTACTGTCCTGACTTTTCGGATTCCTCCAGGAATCCTTAATCATAGGTAAGGGTATCATAGTCATGAGCAGATAGGGTTGAAATATGCACAGGTTGCACGGTGTTTATAGTTCGTATTGGTCATCTGCGTGCGTACTATAATTACTCACTTCTGTAGCCACCGTTTGGGTCATAATTGGTGCGGTACTGGCTTGACATTTCGCGTTCGACTCATTAATGGCCATGATTTCCTCGTCCGTGTTGGATGCGGGCTTGATAATTGCGCGACACTTATGCTCGCTGTCGTCCGAGTTGTTGTTGCTGGGCCCGGCCCTTCCCACGT